TGCCTACAGCCCTACTGTGCCTACAGCCCTGCCATGCTACAGCCCGACTGTGCCTACAGCCCTGCCGGGCCTACAGCCCTACTGTGCCTACAGCCCTACTGTGCCTACAGCCCTGCCGGGCCTACAGCCCTAGTGTGCCTACAGCCCTGAACTGCCTACAGCCCTGCCCTGCCTACAGCCCTGCTGGGCCTACAGCCCTACTGTGCCTACAGCCCTAGTGTGCCTACAGCCCTGAACTGCCTACAGCCCTGCCCTGCCTACAGCCCTACTGTGCCTACAACCCTGCTGTGCCTACAGCCCTACTGTGCCTACAACCCTGCTGTGCCTACAGCCCTACTGTGCCTACAGCCCTACTGTGTCTACAGCCCTACTGTGCCTACAGCCCTGCCATGCCTACAGCCCTACTGTGCCTACAGCCCTGCTGTGCCTACAGCCCTGCCATGCCTACAGCCCTACTGTGTCTACAGCCCTGCCATGCCTACAGCCCTACTGTGCCTACAACCCTGCTGTGCCTACAGCCCTACTGTGTCTACAGCCCTGCCGGGCCTAGTTTGGAGGGTAAAGGTGAGAGGGCACAGGCCGTCCCCAGATTGCACTGAGTGCATCGGCTCTTGCATGACTAAGACTCCACAGAGTCAGAAGGGGAAAGGGAACGTCCTCGTGTATAAATTCATGGATTAGAAAGGCTAGCTTTCATATAAGGAACAAACACAAGCATATAAATCCTATCTGGAAAGTAAAGCCCTTTTAACAATAACCAGCAGATCGCCATATCATAAAGAAAGACTAACCCCAAAATAGTGCAGAATCTCAAAATAAAAGACTGTTTTTAAAAGTTTAAAGGCTACTACCTTGATGAAACAATCTTCACACTTACTCTACCATGGACCAGAAAACAAAAATCCTGCCCCAGCCCAGCTCCACTCCCTGCTAGCTGAGGAGTCCTTGGCAAAGGAGAATAGTGTAGGTTTTAGAATCAGCTGGTTCCTATGACTGCCTACCTTACATATCTGAACCTCAGTTTCCCATCTAGGAAAAAGGAATGAATTACCCGGCCTGTCTCAGGGGACTGTTGTAGGGCTTAAGTTAGCACGCATTTAAAGTCATTAACATGAGAACTCACTGAAAGAACTGTGTTACTTCCTCACACTGAAGCACCACCAGCCCTCACTTCACCCAAAAGCTTAAGCTCTTCCCGTTTGCCCTTTCCTCACGCCCCATCTGCAGGCCTGTTCTGAGAGCCCCAACCAGGGGGGAGGCTGACTTGTGTCCTTTAGATCTGCCTCAGCCAGGTTCTCTCTATGAGAGCTGCATAGCACTGGCTTACTGAAGCCAAGGACCCAGACCAGAGGAGTTGGAACTGCAAAGAGAGCCGTAAGCAGGAAAATAGCAGGACTGTCCACTCAACATCTGTCCACTTACGTCCAGACACAAAGTCAGAACACGGTCACTGGACACTTCTGTGCCAGACACCATTCCATGCACGCTGCGTAGATTAACACATGTTGATAATCCATGGGTGAACATACATCTCACCACCACTTTGCATACATCTAAACTGGAGCACCTAATGAGCACATAACCTCTTCAGACTACCACCAACATGGGAGAGCTGAAGAAGTCTCTGACGTCTTCTATTTATTTATTTACTGGGGACTTACAATTCAGCCTTGACTGGTCTGAAACTTGGTATATGTAGTCCAAGCTGGCCTTGAACTCACAGTCCTCCTGCCTCAGCCTCTTGAATGCCAGGATTCCAGGCATACCAGGCTGAGACTGTGACGTCATCACCATTTAATATGACCTCCAGCCTGCATTGCGGCTCACTCATCAATTGAGTATTGAGGGGAACTGACTATATGCACTGCACGGTGCCCCGTGTTGTAGGATAAGAGACAAGTGAAGACCTGGTCCCAAGGGATCACAAAGGAGGCTTCCTCAGAGTGCAGTTCTCTGCAAGCATGGGGTAAGCATGGGGCTTCATCCTCCTACCCCACTGGAGAGGCCAAGTGGGGCCAGCTAGCCACCCAGTGGCAATAAGGAGCAAAGGTTGGAAGAACTGGATGCCACCCCCCGCCTCCTGTCCTGCCCAGGTGTTGCAGACGCATCCCTGTGGCACCCAGTACTGGCTTCGTGTCTCCCTCTGAGTTTGAGTAGAAGGCTGAAGATGAGTCCAGTCAAAGTCAGGGGCAGACCAACAGCTTGATTTCTGCCAGGTTCGCCTACCTCTCCCCCAGCTCAGTGCTCAGCTTTGGGCAGAAGTAGGACATTGGGAGTGTGTGGCGTGCATGTGTGTGCAGAACAGAGCTGTAGAATCCAGGCTCTCTGTTCTCTGCCAGGATATAACTGTGCACAGGGAGCTAAATGCTGGAAACATAGGAGGCCCTTGGGCCTCTTTGTTGCACCCCTTAGTCTCCTTGGAGCAAAGGCGGAACAGCCAGGAGGAGCTTTTGGGGGGCGGGTACCAGAGGAACAGATTTTCCCCCTCCAGCCAGAGCCACCAGCCTCTGGAGGCAGCTCCCACTGGAGTTATCCTGTCATCCCACATTGCTCTGATTAACTACAATCCTTCCTTCTCAATTTCTCCTCCCCGAGACTAGGGAGGGAGAAAAATCTCTTAGAAAATGAATAAATATTTCACTTTTCAGCGTAATCAGTCTGGGGAGCTGGGGCATGATGGACACAGTAGCGGGGGGGATGGGGGGGAGATAATGGTTTTCATTTAGATAAGATACAGAAAATTATTTAGTAAAAAATGAAAATGGATGGAGCCCATTGAAATCCTTTAAAACACGATTTTTATCGCCCAGCTAGGCTGAATTTCCTTCCCCATTGCTAGCTCTCCTCTGTTCTCAATGCTGTTGCCCCTCTGACCACCTTCTCTTCCTCCTCACTCTCCACTACCATCCCTCTGCCTTCAACTCACTGCTGCCCACACTGTGTGCTCTCTCCCTGCCTCCGGCCTCGCTTGTCAGTGTCCCCAGGTCTCCCATTTCTCCCCTAAGGGTCTCCTCCCCAGCCCTGTGTTGAGTGTCCCCCCAAGACTCAGTAGTGATTTCCTCTCCCTCCTGGCTCCCCTCTCCCATTGCTTTCCTCCCCCCCCCGTGACCCCCAAAAACATTTGCACCCCTTTTGCAGTTCTTGCTTTCACCTCTGACAGAGTCAAGAAGGCTGGGGTTCAGTTGCATTCCCTAGCCACACCCACCCACAAAGATGGAGAGGTACATGGCAAGCATTTTTTTTTCTGACCTTCTATCAGCCCAGATTCAAGCTGCATGAATCTCCTGTTTCCTCACTGCAGCTTCTGTTCCTTAAAGCTTAAGAAGGCTGCAAGAGAGGGGCAGGCAGAAGCCTGCTCCCAAAACATCAGAGCTGACACAGTTGCCCCTCACCCGCCATGCTCTTCCCCTCCCCCTCTCTAGCAACCTGGCTGCACAAAGTCAGAACTTATCTTCCCAACTTTCTGCCAAGTAGCCAACCCTGAGGCCAGGCCTTCTTCTTCCCCCGGCCTCACTCCTGCTCTCAGAGCATGGACGTGTGCCTTTCCACGTTCTAAGAGGGTCCTGGGGCTCTGGGGAAGAAAGGTGAATCAAGACCCCTGAACTAAGCCAGGATTGCCTTCAGAGCTGGAGAGAGGGCTAGCAAAGAGAGGAGGGGTCCAGTGAAACACTCCACCCCGTACACACACACACACACACACACACACACACACACCACACACACACCACACACACACACACACACACACACACACACACACACACACACACACACGCACACACACACGCTATTCAGGAGAGGAAGAGAGCTGGCCAATGCCTGAGGCTCTTTCCATTTCGGCGGCTTCCCTCTTCCCAGATCACTCACCCACCCCAATGAGAGACCACCTCCTCCATTTTGAAGACGGTACATCTCTGTAGGCGCCTGCCTATAAGAATGTCTGCCCAAGTTTCTTTGTTTGCTCCATGGCTGGGGTATGTGGATGCAATTCTGTGTGAGTGGATGTTACGTCCTTTGAACGTCGCATACATGCATATACAGTGTTAAGTTTGATGCCGGGGTGTAGGACTAGGTTAAGTGTGTGCCGGCTTGGGAGAGGAATCTTCCTTCTTAAGAGGTGTCAATCAATGTCTTTGTGTCTGTGACTGTCTCTGTGTGGGGATGTTTGTGGGGATGTCTTCGTAGGTGAGCAGTCTGTCTCAGTGTCTCTGTTTGAAGCTATTTCTGTGTCAATTTCTGTGTTCCAGTTCGGCGGGGGGAGCCCAACAGTATTAAATCTTCCTTGGAGTCAGTCTCAGGAGACAAGACCCCATTCCCACAAGACCCCAGGCCTGGCTGGGGTTCCTTTACTACGGACACCCAGACCAGTGTACCTGAACACCCTCACCTCTCTCTCCGGGTTTACTTCCAACCTCTGTCCGGCCAGTTCCAAAGGAGCCCCAGATATCTGCACTTTGCTGACCTAAAGTGAGTGCCTGACCCGATCAACTCCCCTTCTCCTGATGAATCCATACAGCCCTGGTATCTGGACTTCCACCTCTCACCCACAGCCTTCAGGGCTGGGGGCCCAATGCAGCCTTCTTTTGAGGGGCAACCCCCAAGCAGTTTGCAGCCGCACTTCAAATGAAGGTGACTCTGGGCTGGATTAGGGTAGCAGGATCCCTCAGCCTCATCTTTGGGAGCCTGCGTCCGTGCTTTCGCGCACTCCACCCCCCAAATCTGAAATCCCACCTCTTCCCAGCCTCTCTCTTGGCCAGGACCCAGGAGTCCGGCCCTGGCCCAGGAGGTGGAGGGAGGGAGAACTGCCAGGGACTGGAGGAAACACTCTGAGCACTCGGGTCCCATTTCTACTCGGATCTCGGCTTTCGCGACCTAAGTTCTCTGTTCTCCCGCGCAGCCGGAGGAAGCAAGTTGGGCCGTTTCGCTAAGAACTCCTCGGGTGTTCCCCGGGTGACTCCGCGCCCCTTCCCGGGACTCCCCAGCCCGCGGCTGGGGCTTACCTTGCGAGAAAGTGTCGGAGAGAGTGAGGATCCGGATGAGGAGGCTCAGCATGCTGTCCGCCCGCCGCTGGGCCCAAGTCGGCGCGAGCCGGGCCGCCGCTGGCTCTCTCTCCTCCCCCTCCCGCCCTTGCACACTCGCTTGCCCCTCTCGCCGCCGGCTCGCTCCCCTAGCCCCCTCCTCTCGTCCCGCGCCCCCTAATAATTTCTGCCCTCCAGCTTTATCTCCCGGGGCCTCTCTCAACCTCCGCGCCGCTCTCTTTCTCTCCCCTCTCTCTCTTCCCTCCCCGGCTCCCTCCCTCTTCCTGACGTCTGCTCTCCCTCCGACGGCGCCTCCCTCCACTGCCCTCCCCTGGTCCCCCAACGCGCGCGCACACACACTCGCTCGGCTTGCTGGAGCCGAGATGGGAGGAGAGCAAAGAGAAAGGAATTGAGGGCAGAGGCAAGGGGTGGGGAGGGGTGGGGAGAACGCGGCGTCGCAGGCTCTGAAGCAAGGACCGCTGGGCCCCGGTCTCCCCCCCCCCCCCGCCCAGAGCGCGCCCCTCCGGTGCCGAGACCTACTTTTGCCCCCAGTGGTATAACTGAGCCGGGCATAGGGTGGCAGCCAGGGCTGAGGACGAACCTCCATCAATTGGGGGACTGTGTTGGAAGGGGTGTGCTTGTGCCTTGGGGGGGGGGGGGGGTTCTAAAAGCTTTAAGATCTCTTTTTCATTCTAATCACACGCCGCAGAATCTAACCCTAGATGCTTAAATTAAGAATTCTCAATTAACTAGAGAATGTTGGAGGGGAGAAGCTCTCCCAGCCTACAAATCTCAGACTGGAGAAATCTTGAATCTGCCTCTGAGCCCCTTTTGGAGGGCTTCAGCCAGCCACGTTGAGGCCCGCCTCAGCGCTGGAGTCCGTAGCAGCCGCGAAGAGGCGCGGTTAACTCTTCCTTTGTTCATCCCAGACATCTATCCATCCGGAGGGAAAGCCAACCAAGTCCATGGCTTTCTCTTGTGCCTCCCCGAAGGGTTGCCACAGAAGGCAGGCAGCGAACGATCTCTAAGCACTCAGGGGCTTGAGGTGCAGTGGGGTGGAAAGGTGGAGAGCCGAAGTGGAAGGGCGTTTGGGAGGGTGGTCCTGTCAAGGGCCCAGTGTAAGTAGCCATTTCCTCCCCCAGTCCCTAAATAAGTCCTGCTTCCTGGGCTGCCGAGACAGACTGAAGCCTGGTCTCTAAAGAATGAGTATAGGGAAAATAATAGTCATAGGAATTGTACAACTTTCGAATTATGCTGATCCGGAGAGGTCTCCACTTCTTTTCAGATTCTAGATCGCCTGAGTCCCTAAAAGCTCCTGGCCAAGATAGCTTGATCTTGAGGCCTGGAACTAAGGCGCATAGCTCTAGTGCCCTCTGCTGATGTGAGATGGCCACAGTTCCTCCAAAAATCTTGGCAATTAGGCTGAGTGGTCCAGACACACAACCACATACAACTAGAGGACACAGAACACAGTAAACAAAACAAAAACAAAACCAGAAACCAAAAAGCTCATATTCACAAGCATAATATGCAAGGACTCAGAGAATTTTATGTTAAAAACCCCTTGCACGCATAGGCAAAACCATAATATAAAAACAGGGATATCTAGTCCAGAGATTGAGAATACCATCCCACACAGAGACACACACCCATACAAATACATGCCAGCACTTGGACATGTTAGAGTTTTTAACTTATTCATTCATTAACTCGTCATTCAATATATTTCTTATGTGCTTAATATGGTCCAGTCACAAAACTAGGCTTTTGGAATATAATTACATTAATCAATCAATCAATCAATCACTCACTCAATCAATCAATCAATCAATCTGGATATAGTGGTACATGTCTGTAATTCTAGCTCGGGAGACAAAGGTGGAGAATTAGCTGGACATCGTGGAACACCCTTTAATCCCAGTACTTGGAAAGTAGAGGTGGGTCTATCTCTGTGAGTGGGGGCCAGCCTGGTCTATTGAGAAGTTCCAGGATTGCCAGGGCTTAAATGAAAGCCCATCTTAAAACAAAAGAAACAAAAAACAGAACCATAAGTTCAAGGAGAACTCAGGAACCCAACCTAATAATGACACACCCTGTCACAGAAAAAGCACACGTGATAAACACAAATTTCCCCCTTTAGTGTTTCACTTGAGGGGGAGGGGGATCCATAAAAATGATAATGTACTGGGTTATGTTAAATGTTATGGGTAACAAAAGAGAATAAAGGAACGGAGAAGGAAGAAAGGAGTGGTTTTCCTTATAAATGGTCAAGGAAAGTGCCCCCCTGGGGTAACACTGCAGATTTGTCTCTGCAGGCCTCTGAGGACAGAACACGGCAAGTGGACAGTCACAGACCATATTCCTCCTCAGGCCAGGGAATTCTGGAAGTAAAACAGAATTTTACTCCGATGAGTGCATGCTATGGAGAAGCTGGCAAGCAGTGAGGAAAGAAGATGCTAAGATGTCCCTAGCAGCCAAAGAGCTCCTTCCCTGTGCCTTAGCTTGCCTGGCCCTCTCCCTTTAAATATAAATCTCCATCCAAGCTCTGCTCCATTTTCGCCCCTGTAACACCAGTGCTCACAGTTCTGTCTCAGCTGGTTAACCGGGTCTCCTGAGGTCTGACCGCATACCTTTCATCAAAGGAGGCATCCTGAAGCTCAGTCTTCCAAGAGGTACTGTGAAGAGAAACTCCATGTGTCCCAACAGACTAGACAGACTTCTTCCTTAGCACAGGATGTCTGCCTCCTCATTAAAATTTACCTCCTTGAAGGCAAGGACTGTCTCTGTCTCCTTAGTGTAGAACTTCTTGAGAGTACAGAAGAAGCTGGATCGCCCTTCTTAATTGCTGGAGTAGCAGAGTAGTTGAAAAGTGGGAAATGTGGGTGGACACTGAACCAGACGGAGTGGAAGATTCTCTCCCTGATATTTACTATAGAGATAGGCAAGAAAGGCTAAGATCTTAATTCTCCAGCCTGGAAAATAATCTTGACCCTAACATGGTGGTTCTCAGCCTTTCTAATGCTGCAACCAAAAAGACTCTTTAATACAGTTCCTCATGTTGCTACTTCATAACCGTAATTTTGCTGCGGTTATGAATCATAATGTAAATACTTGAACTGTAGACTATCTGATATGTGACCCTTGTAAAAGAGTCGTTCAATTCCCAAGAAGTTGCGACCCACAGGTTGAGAAGAGCTGCTCTAACAGAAACCTCTACCGGAGTCCCTTTGGGTGAGGGAACCTCAGAAACTTTGCCCTTTCTCTTTAATGTTCTTTGCCGAGCCGAGCCAGCAGCCCAGAGTTGGGGAGGCATAGCTTTTCTCCAGACTCCTCCAAGCAGAGGCAGCTGTCTCTCACTGTGTCCTTACATGTCTGATAGCTGCACGAATTCTTCCAGATGGTAGGCTTTGAGTTTCCAGCTGCTACAACAGTCCATTTGCTCATCTTTTCATTTTCTTTAAGGCGCCAGCATTTGATGTATATAGCAATGGGGCAGGAGCCAGGAGGGACTCCAGTCTGCACAGTGAGGGAAGCGTGGTGAGCAGAGGAAGAACAAGCATCCGTCAAAGCATCCTGAACCATTAGGCCAAGGAGCGCCGAACTCTCTGTGAAGGGTCCAGCCCTGCAAAAGGAGTGGGAAAAGAAGTTCTAGGCATACAAACCGCTGGGTCCTCATCTCATATTTGCAGGCTGTGCTTGGTGTCTTGCCAAGGATTAGGGTGCCGGCAGTTGAAATGGTATCCCCCCTCTATATGTGTGCAAAGCAAAGGAGATGGTCTATGGATGCCCGGCTTTCTGGCTCAGTAAGACCTAGAGCTGTCAGGAGGAAGTTCAGCTGAAACTGGGCATCCTAGGCAACCACTAAGCAGCCACCTTCACTCAGCCTTCTGAAGAAGTCAAAGACCACAGGTGGAAGATGGGTGTCATGGCCTAAGTGAGGAAACAGCGTGTCTATTAGAGAAGACAAAAGGCTAGGCCCTATGTCGACATGATTTGAATGTGAAACGCCTAGGACATCAGTGAAGCGGACCTTTCCAGATACAATGAAGTCACAAATTCTAACGAATGATTTGGCAGGGTGTAGAACTTTGGAAAGTGGAGAGTCTGTTTCAAGGAAGTAGGTCATTGGGAGTGTGTCCCTGTGGCGTAAGACTCTGGCCCATTCCTGTTACTGATCTACTGTGTTCCCTGTCTACCATGATGTGAGCTGTGGTTCTAGGGAGATTTCTGTTTTACCCGGCATCATTGAGTGAAACATTTGGAATCACCAGCAAAAGCAACCCTTTCCCCTTAAGTGGTTTCTATCAGGTATTTGGTCAGAGTGACAATAAAACAAAAACATTGTAAGCGACAACCTGTTGCTGTGAAAGGCTGGAATATTTAGGGAAAGATAGTGTGAGTAGGTTGAAACTTGTCCGGATTTTAGAGGGGAACATTGGCCAAGACACATTCCCCATGTGCACCAGCCTTGCCTGTGAACAGCTGACCTCCAGTCCACACCACTCATTTTTAGTGTTTTATATTTGAGTTCCACACAGGAAGACTATTGGTGTGAAATGGACCAGTTAACTCTTATTGGGTGTAATAAAGATTTCACTGTCTAAGCTTACAGGAATTAGAAGCTCTCTGCTTCTAGTAATTGGTCCGTTGAGAAGGCCTCTCAGCTCAGGATCTGCCCACGGATATTGTTACCCACTCCACTTCCCCTTCTGTATCCAAGTACCAGTCCAGACATTTTATCACAGAAGTCATCCTTATACCCAAATGACTCTGACTCTTATATACTTTTGCCCTGGCAGGTCTCTGAAATTGGGAAATCAGGTGTGGGGAAAACTGAGGGACACTAGGGAGATTGCTCCTTCTCCTCCTCCTTTTTCTTCTTGGAAGACAGGATTTCTCTGTGTAGCCTTGGCTGTCCTGGAAATCGCTCTGTAGACCAGGCTGGCCTTGAACTCAAAAAGTCACTGCTGTCTGCCTCCCTTGTCTTCTTTGGGTTTTAGTTTTCATTACTTTTCTTTTTTCCTTATAATCACTTTAAATGCATTAATTTTATTTACTTATTTACTTTTATTGAAAATTCACACACTATGTTCTGATCACAGTTTCTCCTCCTCCATCTTTTCTCAGATCCCCCCATCTTCCAATCTTCCAACTCCACACCTCTTTCTCTCCTTCTTTGGGAAACAAATAGGAAAAAAA